ATAGAGAATATGTGAGCAAGAATGAATTCAGTTCAAAATAATGCATGACCTTATTTTCGGCAAGAATCGAAAGCTACTTGTCGAGTTTAAGTAATTAGTTGGCTAAGATGACGGGAGTATATTAGCTATATCAGTGTCTATTCTAGTTCCATGCAGATACTAAATGAATAGAAAAGGAAATTCTATCTGTAGGCTAATTTGAAGAAACTTAGATATCGATTAAAGTGTTTAGGAGTAGTATGTGTCGCCCCCTATGAGTTTAGAACCCTAGTTTGAATTAAGCATCCCTTATACCATCATTATCGCCAAAACCCCATTAAGGGTTCTTATGTAATTTTTATTATTAATTATGGAATAAGAATCCACATTAAGAAACTCATTATTTTTAATGGTGCATTGGTAAAACCTTGATAGGGTTTCTTTAAGAAAAAAAATATTAAAAAAAAAATAATTTGAAACAAAGATAATTATTTGATTATAACATTCTTAACATAAACACACTCATACATATAACAAAGATAATTATTGATTATAACATTATTTCATCCAAATTTTGCCATATATTCTCAATCAAATCCGCTTTCGATCGATCATGGACCCCTGGATCCCGGATTCTTCTTCAAGTATCCATTATATTGGCAATGTTTGTAGGCATATCCGTTGAAAACGTGTCATCCACATTTGCACTTCCGGCTCCTTCTCCTTGTTCGAAATCTGACAAATCTAATAGATTGTATCCATTTCTTTCGTCTTCTACTATCATGTTGTGGAGAATGATACAAGCTCTCATAATTTTACCTATTTTTTTATCCCAAAAAAGAGCTTGATTTTTAACAATGGTAAACCGAGCTTGCAAGACTCCAAAAGCACGCTCCACATCTTTATTCTGACCAGATGTCTTCTCCCTTGTTGCAGATTCATAAGCTCCCACGAACTTGCATACCAAATCATTTATCTTCTGCCATCACTGCTTGCACTGAGTTGCCTCTATATGGTCATGGCCTGAAGACTTGGAACTGGCCGCATAATACGCAGCAATTCTTTTCCAAAAGTCCCTTGATTGTTGCTCATTGTCCACGATGGAGTCCTTATTCGTGTTTAACCACGAGCTTATCAGCAGAACATCATCTGCAGGGCTCCAAGTCTACCGTGTGGTCTTCTGTTGTCCAGCCGAGGCTTCCACGACAGGTGAAGCAACCACAGGCATCTCCTCACCGAGGCTTGTTGGATAACCGCAAAAGACACTGTCTTGCTGTGAGTTTAGATGCTCAACAAAGTTCGTCGCGTGTGAATAAGGAGTCTGAGAAGAATACTCCATTTGGAAAGAGATAGACGAAGCAAAGAGATGAGAGAATATCAAACAAATAAGGAGAAGGAGCATGAGAGTAAGAAGAACAGAGGCTTAGAAGAACGAAAGAGAATGAGAAGAAGAACAGAGAGTTATTGTAAGACAAAGAAGGAGAAGGAAAAGAGGCTTCTCCATTTATAATAGGCAAAGAAGAAAGATAAGCATTAAGATGCATTGAAGAGAAGTAAATGAAGCATTGAAGCAGATGCATTGAAGAAAAAAAGCAAAGAGCACTCAAGCAAACTATTTTTTTCTATCTATCTACGTGAACCAAAAGATCATTGAAGATCATTGAGTAGACATTTATCTAACTCTATACCAAGCTTACATCCAACTTCACACCAACTAAAAGCAATTAACCATTTATTACCCTAAACACCATCTCTAACCAACTATTTTCTAAAACTAACTAGGCATTAATGAGAGAAGATGTGATTTGAATACATACCTTCATCACTAGGCATTTGAACATTTATGGTGAGAAGGGTGTGAACAGACTAAAGCCTGCGGTTCACCTTCCTCAATAGCTAGTTCTGCATAAAAAAATACAAAGTGTTATCAACCTTTGCATTTCAAAACTTTAAAACCATCAAACAAAAAACCATTGAACATGTGTGAAACCATAAATAAAACTCCTAACAATTGTGTATGGCGAAGATCGATTCCTAATATCAACCACTGAATCATTCAAATAACATCAACACATCATTCAAATAACATCAACACATCAGTCAAATAACATCAACACATCATCAAGCCTAAACAAGTTGACATGCAGATATAGAACACAAAACAAATTGAAACCGATGACAAACTAAATCCCCCATCCATAACCTATTTCAGATGCTCTGATTGAGCAATTCAAGGGAAGAAACCGACGCATAATCTAAAAAAAAGTATTAGATGAGAACTTATCTGGGAATTCGGTGGACATGCAGAAACCTCTGATCTGTCGATTTGGCAAAGAAGGACCGACGATTCACCGACGTCACGGAGCGGAGGAGACGACCATCGGCAACGATATCGGGACGGAAGAGACGAGACTTCGTTTTGGTGGAGAGGATTTTTCTGGAACAATTTCTCGGTTTGGATATGTGAATGGTCGAAGAAACACCGATGCAGAGAGAAAGAAGAAGTCCCCGTTTTTTTACCCAATCAGCAGCAGATACCTGTCCAGGAATAAACGATTCTTCAGGCCCCAAATAAGAATCGGTTTTTCTAATTTTGGGCCATAAAACATATTTTTAAAACCAAAAAGGCTTAAGAAACCCAAATAAGCCACCCCGATAATGATGCTCTTAGATATCCTTAGCAGCCTAATGTGGTGTCTGCGTGAGGGTGTCAAGTTTTACCCTAAATGAAATCAATAGCCGCAAATGCACAGCTGATCGATTGTAGTACTTAGGGATCGAATCCACAGGGAATGAGGATCTTTCCTGCAAAAGCCTTTGAAAGAAATATAAAGTAAGGAAGTCTAGAAACAGGTAATTTTTGTGAGGGTTTTGGTGGTGTGTTTAAAACGTAAAAACTAATCTTAAAGGGAAAATACGGAAACTAAAATGACCTAATAACTAAACTTAACAAAAACGGCTAAAAACGCAAAAAACAACTAAACCTAATTGCTTAAATGAAAATTGATTGAAAGAGTAAAGATACTAGACTAAAGCTTGAATGAAATCGGTGTAAATCTATAGGAAAGAAGGCGCTGGGGGTTCAGGGAAGTTTTCTCAGGGGTATGAACGATTCAAAACATTGCTAGAGAGAGTAAATTTGATAAGATTTAGCTTAAACTTTTCGAACTGGAGTTACGGACGTATGAATACGCCACTGTTGTGATCATAGACAACTATCTCTCTCAACCCTGACCAGTAGGTTTCCACTCTGGCCCTGGAAGAGAATAGATGCATTATGTTTAAGACTCGTCAGCATTCACAAATCGCCCATAGGTAGGTTTACACTCCTATGTTTGTTTTGCTCTCCCAAACTAGATCTGACACCAGATAAACACTTACATGTCACCAAACATCTGGATCAGATTGTAGTTCATGACTCTACTCTCATGCAGTAAAAACGAATTCAGAAGAAAAAGTTCTAAGATTCGGCTCAATAGCTCATGGAATCCTCATTGAACACATATATCCCCATCGAAAATTTCTTAGACCCAACAATAAAACTACTCAGACATATGAACAAAATCAAAAACATAGTATTAAAAAGTAGAACAGAAACCAAAATTGAAAAAGAAAGAACAAGGATTCAAGAGACAAATCTCTCTCGCCCTAAAACCTAAAAACAAATCTTAAAGTAAAATTTCTGTAAAGTATTCTGTCTCTCTTCTTCTATTTTAAAAAACGACCTAAATGATATATATTTATAGTCTCCAATACTCTATGGTGTCTAGGGTTCCGGAATTGAGGCTGAGAAAATGATACGGGCTTCAGAAATAGGCCTTCAAACTTGGAGTTAGCTGGCCGCGGTCGGGATGTGCGGGACCGCGGGGAATGGATGGCTAGCCGCGGTCGGGATGCTTGTGACCGCGGGGAATGGCCTGTTGGCCGCGGATGGAAATGCTCGCCGGCTGGTTTACGGGACATCTTACTCTTCGCGTATCTTTTGATTGAACCGTTGGATTGCCAAGCTGTAAAGTGTGCTGGAAAGCTGATACTTCCATCTTTGAGATCTCCAAATTTGAACTGGATCAGACAGTGAGAAGGCCTTCAATCAGGGGTAAACTTCTGACGGTTTGACTCTGAGCTAAAAATCTGGTATTCTATCCATTTTGTTAAGTTTTTCCCTAAGTTTCCTGAAAAGAGTCTTGGAACTACAAATATTAGAAAAACGTGATAAAAGTACTTGAATGCAATAGAAAACATAGAAAACGTATTTCAAAACGATCCATAAAAGTGGTCAAAATACGGTGTAATCACCTCCCCCAGACTTAAACATTTGTTTGTCCTCAAACAAAGCAAAAGTCTAAACTGGTTAAGTGAAAACAAAAATAGGGAATACACAAATCTCAGAGACATGAACTCCTAAACTAAAACCAAAGATTGTGCATCAATCCACAACTTAGTCTAGAAAATTCTCACCAATACACAAAAGATACTAGTCCACTTTTTCCGTCATGCAAAACTTAAAAAATCTAAATCTTACTCCAGTCAACTAGATCTCTACATTCATTAAGACATCATCTAGGATAGACGGCGTTTGGCATTAAAGGGCTGTTTAAGTGGTGAAGTTAAAGTGTTTCGGGTTACCTGATGAATCTGGAGGATGCAAGATAATATGCAAAACCGCAAGAGAGATAAAGACCTGTTGATTACCGCAATTTTCAGTCCACTACAAGAAAAAGGTTTATTGATAGCAGATTATAATAGCTCAGTTTTCATAACTGTTATTAAAGATGGTATGTTGAAGTGGATTACTATTTGATAGCATTTTAGAAATGCTAAACACAAAAATATGTATAGCGGGAAGTTAAAAATCACTTGGTGAGCCTTATTACACTTATCGAGCGCCAACACTTAGCCGAAAAATCATTTTTGGTACCAAAATATTTTGGTTTTGCCCCCTTTTCTTCCAATTTAACCAATTTTCTAACGCTAAACCTAATTTTTTTCCAAAAACTCTTATGCTTTTGTCAGTTTCTCTCTATATTTTTCTTCCTAGCCTCTCTCAAAATTTCCTAAGACTCTCTAGATCCAGAATCGGTATCGTACTCTCGACGTCCTCCATCTACACTCATCTTCGTTAACTCTGCTTAAAGGTTGCGACTTGCTGCACTGCTCCTCTGCCACAGCTGTGGCCACCACCGCCTCTTCCTTGCTCCTCCCTTCCATATCTCTCAACAACCTCTGCTCCTTCTCTAAAAATGCCTCCCCCTCAGCTTCTCCGACAAGAGCATCAGAAGATCTAGGCTTTCCCTGAGCGTCTCTGCTGGATCTAAGAATACCTTCAAAATTCTGGGTTTTCAAATTACTGATAATGAAGATTTTGGTCTCGTCGCGACTCTATTTCTATCGCTGAATCCCTCTCTCTGCTCACTATCTCTCTTTGACTCACTCTCTAGCCGCCTCTGTTTCTCTCTCGCTGCTTCACACCACCGCTCTCTCTTGCCGCTATAAGACCACAAATCCTCGTACTTTGGTATTTTTAGACCTTGGGTTTCTAGGGAAAGGATTAGATGGATTTTGGTTAGTTCTGATTTTTGTTTTTGTTTTTTTTTTGTTTTCCTTAGTTCTGAGCATCTATTTTCGTGGGTATGCTTCTGACTTTGAGCCAATATCACTTTTTCACTGAATCCTTCAACTCTTGTCCGCAGGTGCAAAATCTTCTGCAGAAAATGGTGGGTTTTCTTACAGATATATATTTATTTTTTTTCACATTAGGCCTGTGAATTGCAACTTCAAACAAGTAGATTCTGTTAATCTGGTCTTTTGTGTTTTTCAGCAAAACAGGTTCCATAAAATGTCGGACTCCATTATTGCAAAGAATATCCTTGCATCAATTTATGGTTTTACTTGAATGTTGCTTCGATTATCATATTTGAAGTGTTTCCAATAAAGAGTAAGAACCATGATCTTTTTTTCCGTCAAAAAACAACCATGATCTCTAATATTAGTTTCTTTCTGCCATTAAACTATATGAAATGACAATTCTCTAATGACATATTAGATGTAACGATGATCCCTGATAATTGTTTCTTTATGTTTAAATGTCTATGTTATAGATAGTATCACATGTGTCTATATTATGATCTTTAGTTAAGAGTTCCTCTTACACACATACTTCTTTGCTCTCGCTGATTTTCTTTTGTTTTCTAGATGGATTAACGCAACCGTTCTGGGCTCTCCCCTGGAGATGGTCAGTTCTTTCATAACTTTTCTCTGTAGGAATTCAATTTGATGATGTTTAGAATGATCATCGATTTGTGGTCATTTTGGAATAATAGGAAGTATGTTTCTTCTTTGGGTTTGTTATGATTTATGGCTTCTCATGCTTCCTGCCAAACTATTGTTATTTGCAGTTATGCCCAAACTCATGAGCACAAGAACATCTCAGTTCCGGAGTTTACATGTGTCTCATCTGCTAAGGTTTATAAGTCAATTACCTTTCTCATTGGTTTATCACTTATGAATGCTAGTTTGATGACTAGTCCATGGTCAGCTTCTATTCTTCTAACATGTATATTGTTCTCTTAATTCTTATAATCACTTATAAAACTTGTGAATTTTTGTTTTGATCTTCACGAAATCAATGTTAATTTGCTTTGTATGGTTGTGCAAGCTTTGATATGATTCTTTATCATAGTTTGCTCTCATCTCTAGAAGCTCCTAAAGGTTTTATGGTTTTTTTTTGGTGTTTTAGGTTCCTCCTCTGAGTAAAGGAGCTTTGTATATAAGGCCTCCGCTAATAGGGAGTTTTCTGATTTGTTCACTTGTATAAATGAAGTAAGTTTTGATTTTTTCAAAGAGTTGCATTTTGTTTGTTTGTTTTCAGAAGCGTGGATGCTTATTACTTGGTTTCCATAAGCTCTCTCGGTCTGCACTCTCTCGGTCTGCTTATGTGTTCAGTTCGATTCTGATTTTGCTTGTGTATTGGATTGGGTGATCTGGTGAAGATGCTTTTGAGACTGCAAAGAGTTGACGTTTCTTCTTCTCCTTAATCTCATTAGCTTTTGGTTTTAGTTCTTATTCCTTCTCTCTGTTCTTGAGAGTTTTTTAATTTTCTCAATTTTTTTCCAGAAAAGAAGAATGGTTGCAATACTTAGACCACATTAAGCAAAACGAGAGACTTGAATCAGTTTCAGTTACATCTCATCATTACAGGTTTGATTTCTTGGTCCTTTACATGAATAATACTGTGTTTAACACTCTTAGGTCGATTATTATTTGCACAGTTCATCAAAAGCAGGTTTTGGTTACAATAAGCTTTTCTCTAGAACAATTGGAACGTGTTTTGGATACAAGATCAAACCTGGTGGATTTTTATATTGGGAAAAAAAACAGAAGAGGGCAACAACTGCTGCAAAAACCGGTTGCAAGATGATCACATCTTCTTGAGGTAATTTGTTCAGTTGGATTTGGTGCAATTCTGAAATTATGCCTTTGCTTGATGACTTTGGAGAATTACGTAATCACAGATTCCCAATACATCAATATGGTTTTGGTTTGTTGCAGTTACTATGTGTGTATGTTGCTTGGAACAATGCAACTTATGGCATTGATTCTCTCCCAGGCTAGGCAAGCTCTTCTCACGCAAAGAATTGCTTCAGCACTTCAAGCAGCCATGACCACGTTTTGTAAGACATTTGGTATGATGTTTAAGACTTAATGTTTTGTAAGACTTGTTTTTAGTATGATGTTTGTCCTTGTGATGTTTTGTGTAAGACATGTTTGGATGTTTAATAAAAATAAGAGTGTTTTTAATGCAAACGCTGGTTTCATTTCATATAGTTTTGGAAAGCAGGTTTCTCTCGGTTTGAAAATAATTTTGCAAAACTACAGGTCGTGACCAAAAAAAAAACTAGAACACATTAAACAATAGCCTGGAAAAAATGTTATAAAACAGTATACTATAGCCCAGAAAAAGAGCTACAACACGTTATACTGTAGCCAAAAAAAGAGCTACAAGAGATTAGTCTATAGCAACAAAACCGTGCGACAAAAATCCATATTATAGTATGCAAATAGTGCTACTATACTACATAGAACAGCGTTTAAAATGAGTTACTATATCGTAAATAACAATACAATTTCAACGATATAATAGAAGTATATATTACAGCACAATCCGAAAACACTATCGTATAAGGGTCACCCTATTATAGCTCCGGAAATCACAGCGTTCATGAAAACGCTATCAAATCGATATGATAGCGCTAATCGTGAGCTAACAATGTACATTTTTCTTGTAGTGACGTCACTTCTTCTTGTCCAGTGTTGTTGCATAATCCTTCCTCCTTTGTTGTAAACAGTTATTCCCCCAGACTTAAATTCTTTCTGGGAATCAGAAAATGATCTCCAAAACTCCATAAAATCGAAATCCAGTTGCCTTGAGACTTAAAATTCGACCTCTCTAGACTATCTAAGGCTTTTATTTCCTTTTTTTCCTATTTTCGGATTTTTTTTTCATTCAGAAAGGAAATGCCTTTTAAAGAAAGAGAGATTAGAGGACGAGATTGTACCAAAATTTGAGATTTTTCGAAGGCAAACTGAGCTTCTTCTTGTGTTGAATCCTTCTAGGAACTTTTCCGGCAAATCGCAGGTCTCTGTCTTTGGTGACTAAAAACTGCGTCGTTCCTCTTTCTATCCAACGTTTATACACATATCTGCATATAAGACAATAGAAAACAAGAGTGTATGTGGTTTGAAAGAGGATTGGTTAAGGTGGGGGACTAGCTAAATATGAACTAGCCATTCAGGATCAACATAGAGTGGTAAAAAGGATAAAGGAGTCCTGAATGTATGATTCGTTTCCCTGGTCTAATGCTTCAATGAGAAAATTAAGTCCAAATTAACTCCAAATAAAACAGAGCTAGTGTATTCCTTCATCTAAATCGAATCATTCAAATTCCTCTGGGATACTTCGTTTCAAATGTGCTTAGCTACCGCCTAGTCTAGTCCTAAATCATGAATGAGCATGTCACTAGGAGCAGTCTAAAAGCACACAGTCAACTATCACTGATTTATGTTCACCATTCCCTTCAAAACATATTTTGTTTTTGAAAACAGATTTTGAAAAACTTTAAGGAAAATGCAAAAAGTTTAGATAATGCAAGACTCATCCAGACTTAAATCACACTGTCCTCAGTGTGAAACAAGTCGAGATTGGATGAGAAAAATGCATAGATAATCGAATTGGTAAAGCCAAAGAGAACTTACCTGGATCTGGGATGCTGGTGGAGGTAGACCGGATTCATTCGAAGAGGTTTGGGAAGGTGATAGGTGGTGAATGAGGTGGTAGGAATGAGGTGTAGTGGGTTTTTTTTGGGTCGGGTATCATCTCAACGACCATTTGCCGTGGTCAGAGGTCACGCGACCGCGGTAAAGTGGTGTCCGGCCGCGGTCAGGAAGACGCGGCCACGGTCGAAGAGGTGTTTCCCACAGTCAGAACACCTGCGACCGCGGGGGCTTATATCGCAGCCTGTTTCCTGCTTCTCCATGGTTCCTGCTGGACCGAACAGTCAGGGACCAACCTTCTTTTTGGTCTTTTTGGTTTTTTTTTATTTTTTTGGTTTTTTTTTGTTTTATACGAAACACCTGAAACTAAGAAAAAGAAAAAGATCAATAGAAAAAGAAAGAAAAATCCTAAAGAAAAGAATACCTAAATGGGTTGCCTCCCATTAAGCGCTTTTATTTTAAGTCGTTTAGCTCGACTTTTGGTGTTGGACGTGGCTTAATCCAATGAAGAAGATTTTGTCCTGAGACAATTCTTTTTCGACATCTCCTTGCTTTGCCTAGCAGGTTCTTCGTCACTCCAAAGTTCTTCTTCAAACTCTTCTGTTGCAGAACATTTTCCTGCTTTGCTGTTGTACGGGACAGCTTCTGTGAAGACATCTTTGTCGATATTAGCAAATGAAATCCTCTGGTTTTGCCAGTCCATTATAGCTCCGGAAGTTGCTAGAAAAGACCATCCGAGAATCACTGGATGTGTTGCGTCTCTCGTTTCGACAATGTAGAAGTCGACAGGCACGATGCAATCTCTTATTCTCAAAGGAATGTCATGACCTATTCTTTGAGACGTTGCATTGGAATCATCAGCTAGACTAATCTTGGCTCTAGTCCTGCGCAGGTGTTTAATACCAAGTCTCACAGCAATTTCCTTGGACATCATGTTAAGACAAGCTCCAGAATCACAAAGCACGTTTTTAAACATTTATCCTCTAATAGAACAAGAGATGAAAAACTGACCTGCACCTTTGAATTTGTGAAGTGTTCGAACAGGTTTACCTCTTCTGGCATGATTGAACAAGTCTTCTATTTCAGGGATTGATTCCTTGCTCTCACAGAAGTAGTGGCCTATCATGAAGTCCTTGCAAGCTCTGGCAAAGGTGATTCCTTCAGGCAGATTTCGAACTACATCATTGAACTCATCGAGCTTCTCCTTGCTGATTTTGTTGGTGTAGTGGCTACATTCTTCAGGTTTTTGAAGGTGGATTTCATAGACAGCTGCTTCAGGTGATGTCATGTATCGAGCTCACATAAAGTATCTATGTATATCCTCTTTAGACTCGCATAAAGTATCTATGTATATCCTGAAAAAGACTTGCAAACGACCAAGCTTCCAAATTTCATCGAAGCTTAGGTGAGCAGGGAATGACCTGACCATATTGTTGAACTCTATGAGCTTCTCCCTACTGATGTTGTTGGTGATCCATTGAATTTCTCCTGAACTGTCTTCTGAGGAATATCTTGCGTTTGGATCTTCTACAAACAACCAATACTCTTCATCTTCAGAGTATTGTTCTTCATACTCATCTTCGCAAGACAAGGCCATGTTGCAGGCCCATGGCTTGTCTTCATCTTCAGATCCTTGGGTGCTGATTGAGTAAACTAGTTGTTGATGGAGGGGTTTAGTCATTCCAGGAGGTGTATCAGACGCACAACTGCTTGTATGAACTGAACGGAGCTGTTTTGGAACGTTTTTTCGGTTGGCCTTGACTACAGGAGACGCGACCGCGGGAAAACGTCCATGGGCTGCAGGTAGGTCGAGCACGACCGCGGGAGAAAGCTTCTTGGCTGCGGTCGCAGGCCACGCGACCGCGGGAAAGTGTCTCCGAGTTGATAGTCTACTGTTTCTTGTTCCTTTGCTTCCTGAATGATCTTCTGGGTCTTCTGGCTTGGTGTATTTCCTCCCTGGACTTGAGTATTTAGTTTTGGCTGCTGGAATCTGTTCTCCAAGTCCTTGTATGATCTCCTCAACCTTTTCTTCAACTTCATCAAGAGCATAGACTACTTTGTCCATGGTTGAGTCAAGCTCTTCGGTTTTGTCAATGAATTTGTAAACCTTCTCTAAAACTTCGACTGTGAAGTCATAAGACTCGTTCTTAGCTTCGTTGAGGGCTTTGTCCACATCATCAAGTTTGAAAATCCAGGTCCATCACTTTGTTTTTAGTGTTGCGAAGCTCGTAGGTGTGCGTCGCCTGCTCTTCTTCCATGCTGTCGAACCTGTTAGCGATCATAGCTGCGTCCTTGGTTGCTCGTTCTTCTATTGATTTGACTTGTGAAGCTAGGTTATCGATCTTCTCATTGAAAAGTTTCGATATCCCGTCAATCCTTTCGTTTAGAACGGTTGTAGCCGTTGATTGAGCTTCTATGAACTGCTTGATTACGCCCTCAAGCTGACTCAATCGGTTACTGAGCTGGACATTCTCATCTTGCTGGAGAACCTAGTGAGGTAGGCGATACATAGGTGGTCTAGGATTTATAGGATCCATTGCTTCTGGAATGGAAACAAAATAACCGAAAAAATGGAAATATGCAGAAAAAGGGGTTCTAGAGTCGATTTACCAACCTTTCTTAGGGTTTTGCGGAAAAGAAAACGCGTGCCTTCCCCGAAAACGGTGCCAAAAATTTGATGTGGTGTCTGCGTGAGGGTGTCAAGTTTTACCCTAAATGAAATCAATAGCCGCAAGTGCACAGCTGATCGATTGTAGTACTTAGGGATCGAATCCACAAGGAATGAGGATCTTTCCTGCAAAAGCCTTTGAAAGAAATATAAAGTAAAGAAGTCTAGAACCAGGTGATTTTTGTGAGGGTTTTGGTGGTGTGTTTAAAACGTAAAAACTAATCTTAAAGGGAAAATACGGAAATTAAAATGACCTAATAACTAAACTTAACGAAAACGGCTAAACCTAATTGCTTAAATGAAAATCGATTGAAAGAGTAAAGATACTAGACTAAAGCTTGAATGAAAATCGGTATAAATCTATAGGAGAGAAGGCGCTGGGGTTCAGGGAAGTTTTCTCAGGGGTATGAACGATTCAAAACATTGCTAGAGAGAGTAAATTTGATAAGATCTTAGCTTAAACTTTTCGAACTGGAGTCACGGACGTATGAATACACCACTGTCGTGATCATAGACAACTATCTCTCTCAACCCTGACCAGTAGGTTTCCACTCTGGCCCTGGAAGACAATAGATGCATTATGTTTAAGACTCATCAGCATTCACAAATCGCCCATAGGTAGGTTTCCACTCCTATGTTTGTTTTGCTCTCCCAAACTAGATCTGACATCGGATGAACACTTTCGTGTCACCAAGCATCTGGATCAGATTGTAGTTCATGACGCTACTCTCATGCAGTAAAAACGAATTCAGAAGAAAAAGGTCTAAGATTCGGCTCAATAGCTCATGGAATCATCATCGAACACATATATCCCCATCAAAAATCCCTTAGACCCAACAATAAAACTACTCAGACATAATGAACG